AGAATCGGATTGCGACCGATAGAACCCCGCTCCCCTCTGCGACCAATCTGGCTGGCCACTAGATTGATCCACACTGTATGTGTGTGTGTCTAAAAAGCATATGCTAACTGTGCTATTCTCAATAAACGCTGTGTGTATTTACCTTCCTCTATATAGATCACATGTGCTTTGTATGAGCATAACACACTAACAGGACATAATGTACATTTTCTTCAGTCCCTGCAAGATTCCACAGAATCTGTGAGCCCCTTCGATTTGTCAAGTGCTTCTACCTTAGGCTAGGACAGATGTTGTACATACTTGCATATGCCATCCTAGCTATGCTGTAACCATATGTTGGATTTTCAAATTGATCTGTCCAGCTAACAGTAATTTTGAGAGAGAAAAAAGATTATTATTAATCTTAGCATTGATCTGGCCCACAGTTGGGCACATCTCTGCTGGGAAGTAGTAAGAGGGTACTGAAGCTTTTCACCTTTAAATAAATATGGCCTAGATTTGTAGTAGACCTGCCATCTAGCAGCTATCCAATTACATAAATGTATAGATTCAATCCAGCTACTACTGGACAAAGACCAGGATCCCTTTTTGGCAGTGTTGGTTGAGAGCCTAGGCAGTGAACGGTCATCGAGAATGAACTTCCTTTCACCTCTAAAGATAAATTCTGCCAGGTAAAAGGTGAGACAGAATGACAGGGCAATGTGGGAAAACTTCCACCACCATTGTCCATGCTGTACCTGTTTTGTGGATAATTAGAGGTCTTCAGTTATCAATCAAGTCGGCAGCTACTTCACTTACACAAAAAATGGTGAAGGGAAAAAACAAATAAGCTTTTAGGCTACAGAAAGCATGATGTTCAAAATTACTTGCCAGCTAGCATCCCTTTAATAAAAAGATTTATACTATGTGGCAAATGATTAATACCCTGTACCTTTTTCTGCTCCACTTTTGTCATTCTTTTCAAGTAGGAGGTAGTGAGGACTTTCAGGGAGGAAGGGCAAAATCCCAACTTGGATCAGTGAAGGAACAACAATCACTCCAAATAAGTAGGGCCAGCGAAATTCCTACAAACAGATGCAAACATGACATTTAATAAGGTTTCCCTTTAGTGAAGCCAAGACGAAAAATAGCTTTGAGGTAGCAAGCTGTGCCTTTTGAGATAACTTTATGAAATGGACATTGTAATATTTCTTCCATTTCAGTTTAGCCAGTGATTTGAGCACAGCCTCTGTGTGTGGGGAGAAGAGGAGGGTGGGAAAAAAGAGGAAGAGGGAATATAAAAAAAATCAACTGAGCATCCGTGAAAAAGAGGAGTGGGGAGGGGAGCTGGGAAAAGGCTTGGGATAGATTAAGTATATGGCATGCTTTTACTTTCCTTTAATATTACAAACCACAACCAAAATGACTCAATATTAACCAAGTAAAAATGGCCAGAATGAAACCCAATCACCATATCACTTGTCAGCTTTAGGAAGCTGTACAGTATTACAGTGGTTATATAGTTACAGATGGCTGCTCAAGGCATCTTAGTTCTATCTACTTGTTTAAAAATCATTCAGACTGGCTACAACACATTCAACACCTCATAGAAATGACAAAAATTATATTTAGGAAAAATTCTACTTCTCCAATGCATTTTCTTTATTTCTAGTAATCAGAGCATGGGGCTCAGAATGGGGTACTTCTTACTTGAACTTAGACACCGGACTCAATCTCAATCTCTGTGCCATGTGTAAAATCAAGATAATACTGTAGCAAATTGGTGGGTGGCCAGAATTTCATGGTTGCCACCATGATGCACACCGTGACCATTCCGAACTTCATTGGCCCTAGGAGTGCACCTTAGATACTCCTGCTTCAAAACACCAACATGCTCATTGACTTCAATCGGGTCCAGATTTCACCCTCCTCAGCCTCTATTTTAACTAAAAGGAAATTTTGCCTTAGCAGTATTGGCTCTCCATATATAGTTGAGCAGTTCTAATTCCATCCAGTAGAGGGCACACATACACAATTCATCATAATCCTTACCCTTCTCTTCACTTACGTTGGAGTCATGATCTGGCTATGTTCTATGAAATATTATTTATTATAATTATCTAGCTCTAGCACAAGAGCACAGCACTAATAAGAAAGTGGATTTTTGAATTACAGGATATTAGAAATACAGGATATTATTTAATATTGTAGATATTTTTGCATTTAGAAAACATTATTCTCTAAAAGAAATGGTTCAAACGGTAGGAATACAGGATCACTATTCTCTCTCTCTTTAACCTAAAATTGTTAAAGGGAAAAATGAAATTATCAATAAAATAGTATTTCTCTCTGCAACTCAATAGAACCTGTTTTGATTTTTTTCAGTCATTTCCTTGCTCTCTTTTTTAAAATACAGTAAAATGTGTAAGGGATTATATTTTTCTATTTGTCTCTTTTTAAAACTGAGGGGGGAAAACAGAGCAGCAAAGTATGATTTTATTACATTTAAACAGCATTATGCATGCATGATATTCACCAAGAGTTAGAAAAATGATCACATGCTACTTTATCTTGGACTTTCCCTAGTAATAAGGCTCATAATTTCATACTGTATTACATAAGCCATTATGAACTGACAGTCTGTGACTATTAAACATTGCAGCTATTAAAATATATTTGTTACGTTATTTTAAAGGCATTTTTACTGTAGTTTCAGTGAAATTCTTTAAAGATTACTTGACAGTAAACAATAAAACAGGAATAAGATCACACAAAATGGAAGATTCCTCTATTACACTGCACTTGAAGAAAAACTAAAAGATCATGAATAAAGAAATGTTTTCCTTCCATCACCAGTCTAGGTATTTATTTGTCTAGGTACTTATATGATACTCATCACTGTACTATCTGAGCACCTCCATGTTATCAATGGGGATCTCATTGCCACAGGAAATCACTGAAGCCAGGACCTTAGCAAGGTTCAAAAAGGGATTGGGCGTTTATATGGATAAGAAGTAGAATATTCAGAGTTACCATCATTAATGTTAATAAACATTTCGGGGTAAGGACTATTAAATCTCATGCTTCAGGGACTAAGCCAAGTATTAGAAACCAGTATGAGACTACGTGGTGGTCAGATTATCCCACATCTGCCTATTGCATAGTTCCTACACCTTCCGAAGCATCTGGTGCTGGCCGCTGTCAGAGGCATGGTATTGGACCAGGTGGATCTCAGGTCTGATCCAGTCTGGCAATTTTTATATTTCTATTTGAGCACCAATGCAAGGGCAGAATTGTCTAAATTCGTCTGAGGAAATGGGAGGGGATAACTAGTCATAATGGAATGAAATTTAGCAAAGGAAAATGTAAACTGGGTATTGGGGAGGGAGAAAGCCTTAGAATGAAATCTATCAGACTGGAATAACGTCACAAGAAAAGTGTCCTATCAGTAGGATCACTTAAGCCTGGACATGATAAGGCATTTGAGAAAACAATCTGCACAGGGACTGCTGTATGGAAGAGTTCTATATTGGCAAGGAGCTAGACAAGATGGCCTAGAAAGCCTTCACATCACTAATTTCTATCAATATAATCAGGAATTCATGCTGTTGTCCATAACATTTCCTAGAAATATAATTTTAAAAGAAAGTGGAAACCTTGCATACCAAACTCAGGTCCTCTGGGTTCAATATTAGACTCTTTGCCTAGGGGGGAGGGATAGCTCAGTGGTTTGAGCATTGACCTGCTAAACCCAGGGTTGTGAGTTCAATCCTTGAGGGGGCCACTTAGGGAATCTGGGGCAAAATCAGTACTTGGTCCTGCTAGTGAAGGCAGGGGGCTGGACTCGATGACCTTTCAAGGTCCCTTCCAGTTCTAGGAGATAGGATATATCCAAAGATATATGTAACATACTGACATTCAGTCAAGGTGAAAATCAGCAGCAATGGTATAATGTATGTAGTTACCTGGGAGACATCATTAAAAGTTACTGCCTTAGTGGATTTTAGATTTAATTTCTCTTCCATAATAATCTTTGAAAGTCACTGACATTTGATCAGAACACTGAATTTTGCCATTATTTAAAACTAGAAGCAGATTGGGAACCCAGGGAAAAGTACTTCAAAAGAAGGGTTTCTGGGGAAGGCAGCTTATAGAAAATGTATCAAGGGAAATCTGGGTTTGCCTTTGAAGAAAGAATGGAAATATGTAGGATTATGGTGAAAAAAGCAAGAAAACAGGATTAACATTAACTCAGAAAAGCAAAATGGCCTTTTGGTAGCTTTCTGCTCCTAAAATGTCTTATGTTCTAATTCTATAATTAACTTTGGGGTAACAATCTTAGCAGTGGTCTCTTTTTAAGATGATCATAAAGTGTGGTTTCACTCTGCCTATCACTAGTGGTTTCATTTCATTTCATTCATTCTAATTAGAGACTTGACCTGGAAAGGTGCTGAGCAGATTTCTCAGACTTCAGTGGGGCTACCTGAGCTCAAGCATGTGTTTTCACAGGCTTTACTGGACTGGAGTAGAGGGCTCAGCACCTTGCATCATCAAGCCCTCACGGCACCTCTCCAAGTACTCTGGAAATGATTTCTCCAGCACAATCAGAGCCCACATCTTTCAACAAGAGCCCGCTGCCATTTTTCTATCTTTCTGAATGGAAAATTAGGTTTTCAACAAAACAAATTTTTTAGTGTGAAGTGACTGCTTTCGGTGGAAAATTTTGACATTTTATCAAAAACTGAACACCCGTCCCTGCTCCCCCACCCCCCAAAATGTTTTGATTTGGACTGCTGTCACCGTTGCTGTAGTTTGGGTGCCTCATGAGTGCATTCTCCTGTATGGGCCAGGTTCCTCAGAAGGACAGCATCTGCCATAATGCATTGTGGCCATGGGTCTAGCAGGAGGAGAGACTGGTGCATCTGGAGAGACATAACCCAGGCAGGGAGCCCAGCCCCTAGAGGAGAATGATAACACCCAAAAACAATTCTCTTGAGGCATAGCAGTGGCATTTCTGAATCAAAATTTTCAGTTTGGGATTTTCCACTTAAAAGTCAAAATTTTCCGCAAGCAGAAAAAAAGGATTTTTCCATAAGCTCTACTCTCAACTCTTTGTCTCTCAGTATTTTGCTATAACAGGACCCCCACCACCCACTATAAATGCTGCAAGGCCCATTTTTTTCCTCTCAAGCATTCAGGAAGAAAGGAATTCGAGGGGGAAGCTTTTTGTTTACATTAGAAGCATCAGGAGTTGCTAGCCATCTAGGGCTAGCTCTACACTATGACCTAGAGATGGGATTCCCCTGCCCATGTCCATATACTAGCGCAAAATCTCATCGAACTAGCATGAGGATGAGCAGTGACAGAGCAGCGAAGTACAGGGAGGAGCAGCAGCAGAGGCACAGCTGAGCCCTGCCGAGTACATACCCACCAGTTTTGGGCAGGTTTGTAGTCCCCTTTACCGCTGCTACCAGTGCAACCACAGCTTTACTGTTACTTATACTTGTGGTAGCTCAATGAGCGCTAGCTGAGGGTGTGTACATGAGCAGGGGAAATCACAACCCCTAGCTTGCAGTGTAGACGTAAACTGAGATGGAATGAGCAGTTGTCTATTTGTTTTATTGGATAATGAAATGAGATAGTCTTCTTTACACCAATTAAAATGGCTAAGAATACACTTGTTAATGGAATAACAAACCTTTATAAAACAAAAGAAGACCCTACAAAGCAAACAGCTATTGTAATTGGCTGTTTTGCTTTGTGGGCGGCTAGAAGCAGATAGTTTCTTCATTTTTAATGGTCAAAAACTGGTCTTATTTCCATTTAGAGCCCATCATGACTTCCCAAAACATTGTAAAAGGTAAAACAGTAACATAAAATTTTTTCGAAAGTTACATTTAGTCTGTGAAAGTGATATATAAAAATCTGACTCTTGATTAGTGCCTCAGATTTCTTGTACATTTTTTCCACAGTGCCAAGGTACTGTGCAAAGGCAAAAAAAACCTAATTACTTTTGTAGATTATTATTATTAATGTTCTGCCAGCCTAGGGAGTCTTATTTGCCTTTAGTAAATCTATATTCCAT